TACAAACCCATGTAAGATTACTTTATATCTAATTTATGTATTTTTTATCTATTATTTTATATAAATATGAAATTTATATAAATTTTTTTGTATCTATATAAATAATTTGATTTATTTAGCTATTTTTCAAGAGTGATTAGGGTAATTACTAATTGATGCATTAAGTAAAAATGTTCAGCATGCTCAAAAACCTTTCCCAAACCCCTATTTTAAACTTTAAATTTAATCCTAACTTTAATATTTTTCCTGATTCTATATCAAAATATATATATATTTATACAAATAGATATATAAATCTATATTAGGTCTATAATGTTTTTGTAAAGCTACATAAAAATACTACATATGACTATGTAAAAAACATAATTGCTGATGTGATGCTAATGGTTTTCTGCTAATAAACCATAAAACAACTGTTATATGAAAGATGCTACTGCATAATTTTGATTACTTAGTCGATATACTAATCTTAAACATTTCAACATGATCTGCATTAAAAATACTGTAACTATAAACTTATCTGTAAATGCATGTATAATGTGGCTATGTTCTTGAAATACCTGTTAGCATTTAATATCAATGGCACTAAATATAGATATTCAGTTATGATATATGACATTCAATTGTTTATCAAAAAAGGTATTCGTAATTAATGTCAATATTTTCAACTGTATTAGGAAAAATGGCACTCGGGTTATTATCATTGATTTTATCTTGTTAATAAAACTTCTTCATCCTGTAAATTATAAAAAACTGCATTAGCTAAAGAGAAAGGTTATCGATTTTTAATTTTAAATTGCACCATTAAAATATTATTTACACATTTGTTAAAAACTTACACTGTTAAATATTTGATTCCGCTTTTAAGACAATATGTTTAACATAGAAACTAGTGATAAAGCCAAAAAAAGAAAAAATAATAAACAAATGGCTTTCAGGCGTAAAAATTCTCATTTTCGAAAATCGCAAAATGCAAAACAAAATGCCATTCAAAAGGAAAAAAAAGTTCAAGCATGACTTGTGAGAGACCATCAAGCAGAATGCTTAGGTGTTCCTTTATGCATTTTGAAGATGAATGAAAATTTTGAAAAATTACTATTACAATATGCAACATGGCCTCAGCCGATCAAGAATGAAGTAGCCATAAATGCTTTAGCTAATTTTTGTGATAAAGTTAGTCTTAATGAACTGCGAGAATTACCTTGTGTTATTTGTTCGGAGCTTTATAATTCTTATAATTATATGAAAATATCTGTGCAAGAAATTGATTTTGCTCTACTTAAAACACCAATAAACCTTATTAATCCATTATTTGAAATTAATTTTAATTACAACCATTTTTACATTAATGCTAGTGGATTAAAAGTTCTTCTTGATCATTCTGGATTCATTTATTTGTCTAAAATTTACAACATTTCTAATAACCCCTTTAGCTTGCGAGTTTGCAAGCCTTGCTATGAACATTTACAAAAATGTAAAACACCACCTTTATCATTGGCCAACAACATATGGATTGGATCTACACCACTATGTCTTCAAGACTTAACAATTCCAGAACAACTTTTAATTTCATCTGGGTACCTGTGTATGAAACTTATCCAATTAACAAAGAAAAAACATACACATCATAAACTTAAAGAGCATGTTATCACATTTTCTCAAGATCCGACTTCATTAGTTAATGTATTGCCATTGCCAATATACTGACTCTGTGAATATCTGAAAATAGTATTCATCGGAAATGGGTCACCTAATCGTTTACAACTCAAAAAAGTACTTCAAGTTCGAAAAAGCAAGATAACCATAGCTCTTCGATGGCTCTTCGAGCATAATCAGTTATTCAGAGAAAAATGCATACTTGATGAAAATGCTTTAAATAACTTACCTGAAGGGGAAATTCCCAAAGCCTTAACTCTAACAACCATCATAGTAGATATTGATTCATGTAAACCTGAACTCTACACTGGTTATACTAATGATCCTTTATTAGATATTTAAGAATCTAGCAGTGACGATGAAGAATTAACTAATATCAATAAACATAACTTTAACCATATTCTTATCAATAATTCAATCAATACTGCAAGCAAACTCAGGTCTTCTGGAATAATAAATGTTGATAGTATACCGATTACTAAAAGAGAGCTTACATTGCTTTCTTTCCAAAAACTTGTTGATGAATCAAATTTTCATACAAATAAACAATTATCCATGAATATGATCATAACTGAAATAAGAGCTAAACTCTCTATGCAGTCACAAATATTATGTGTACCTTATAGCAACAAATCAATAAACGAATATGAAGATTTAATGCTTTTTCTCATAGGATTTCCAGTTCTCTATCTGTACGGTGTTGGAGGACATGAAGGTCAATCATCTTGAATTTTGTTGAGTAAATATGCCAATCATCTTATGCATTACCATGATCCAAAATTTAGGCAACACAGGTTATTCTTGTTCGTTATATTTAATGTTCTGCAGTGACAAGAAGTATTAAGAGAATCTTACAATTTAACGAAAAACAATAATTTTGATCGATTTGCTAAATTGATATCAACACTCAAACCTGAACATATTAACTTAGCTATTAAGCAAGAACAAGAAAAACAACCTATTAACAACCCGGCAATTCTTGAATTACTTAGAAACATTAACTCTGCTGGTTCTAAGTTAATGGCATTCCATCAGTCACATGCACGTATGTGAAATGAAATACGTGCTGTTATCATGTGTGATGGCACATCTTCGCTATTCATAACCATAAATCCTGTCGATCTACACTGCTCTATTGTAATGATGTATGCTGAAAATGAAATTGATCCTGAAAAGCTTGCCCCCGAAAATTTTTCAAAAGCCTCAGAAAGAGCTCAACTCATGCATCTCGACCCAGTAGCTGTTGCTAAATACTTTAATACTATTATTCAAGCGATTATTAATATTTTGATTGGATGTAATAAAAAAAATAATGGCATATTTGAAGCTGTAAAAAATTATTATAGTGTTGTTGAATATCAAGACCATGGTACTCCTCACTGTCACATGCTCATTTGGCTTCATGATGCACTCGACCTGATCTTGTTATGCCAAAAACTTAAAAATGACAATGAATTTTGGCATTATTTATTAAACTATATTAGTAATATTGTTCGAGAAGATATTAACTATCTCTGCAAGAAAGGTGAACTTATAACCAATAAGATGGTTAAAGCTGAATGTTTAACCCCTAAAACAATTCTTGAAAAACAAATGCACTTTTCTTTTCTACCAATACCTGATCCCAGATTACCTGACTTCAAGAAAAAATTTTGCTTAGATTTACTCACAATTTGTAAACGTACACTTTTTCATTACTGTACGAAAGCATGTAAAAAATTTAATCGTGACTTGCAAAAGCATTGCCGATTTGACTTTCCGAGAGAACTTGTAGATCCACCAGATATAATCTTTCCTGAACAGAGAGTCATTGCTATTCAACATATAAGTGCTTATTTCAACAACCATAACTCTTATATAACAACTGCCTGTAGAGGCAACAACGACATTAAATTTATATCTACCCAAAAACTTGCACTAGCTTGCATTCACTATATTACCGATTATATTACCAAATTAGATATTAGCACATACAGCTCTTTTTTGATATGTGCCTCTATTCTAGAAACTTTTTTAGACCAATTATCTAATAATGATTCATATAATCTTATAGATAAATCACTCAAACTAATAACTAAATACCTCAATAAAATGACTGGTCAAACAGAACTTACAAGCCCACAAGTTTCTGCGTACTTGTTAGATATAGATGATCATTATACCTCTAACAAATTCGTAAATATCTATCTTCAAACTTTTAAATCTCATCTCATGAAAGAATGATCAAATATTAATCGAATTCCAGAAAATGACTATGAATTAGACAATGAATCAGATAAAGAACCGGATCTAAATGAAAAACAAACCAACCAAAATCTAACATCTGAATTGTTTCTGATATCATCCTATAATGGCAAACTGACCGCTATAAATCTCCAAGTCAATTATCAGTTTCAGGGTGAATTACTAAAAAATATTTGTCTCTATGACTACACTTCTACTATTCAAAAAGCTCCAATAAATTCTTATAAGTTTTCAATGCTATTGAACCAAAATTTAAGAAAAACCAAATCATATGTTGACCACTTTTTTTTTCGTGAAAGTAAATATGATCATGACCATGTTCATGAAACTTATGATATTCATCCTCAATGTAATACACATATCCAATTACACAGAAAATGAGGATCTGAAAGAATAATAGTATTATATGATAAAGGAATACCCAGAGATGATGACCTAGAAAATGCTGAACAATATGGACTATGCATTCTCATGCTATTTAAGTCTTAGAAAACTGTCCAAGACCTTCGAAAAGATTATGATTGTTGGGCTAAAGCATGCCAAGCATTTTTAAATAACCTATATTTGTTACCTCATCTAAAATCTATAATTTACAATATAGAATTACTGCATAGATGTTCCAAAGAGACAACACTTGATCGTGAATTATGCAAAAGCACAACAAAAGACCTATTTCTTGCAAAAATTTGCCACATAGACCATTCTATTCCAGGATATGATGTTGATGATGAACCAATCTTTTCTGATAATGATGATTTGATTGATGATGTTAATGATAAAAAAGTGTCTGTATTTGAAACTGAAACAATTATAAAATCTGGTATAAAAGATATTAAAATAATCAATGCTACTATGGACTTTTTACGAATTCAAGGCAAATTTCTCTTGAAAAGTTTCAAATTACTAGATAAAATGAATTTGGTCAATAACCCTATTTCGAATCTAATGCATCCAAGCAATGCTTATAATAATGATCTACTAAAATTATGGCAAAGTACAATCACTTCATGAAAAATGATAAATCAAAATAACAATACTTCAACATATAAAGATAATACAGCATCACGCACCAACATAAATCCTTCATATAATACAAATAATGATACATCTTTGAATATTATTCCAACTAAAAATACTGATCTCTTAGAGAAGTTCGGATCTGGCTTAAATGATGAGCAAAAAAAAGCATACTTGCTTTTCTGTGATCATCATCAAAGGAATAACCAAATCTGTGAAAACAACCTATCACAATTACTGCTTTACCTCAGCGGCGCAGGCAGAACTGGCAAATCCAGAGTCATCCAAGCAATATGCTTCTATTTTGAACATATTTTACAACATGACTCTCTTATTGTTTTAGCCCCAACTGGCAATGCGGCAGTAAACATATGCGGAAGTACTATACATTCTGCATGCGGATTCGGATTTAATAAGTATCAAAATAATAATTCAATATCATTGGATGAACACCTATGCCAACTTCAAGAATATTGGTCTAAAATCAAATATGCTATAATTGATGAAATCTCTATGATTAGGCAGAAACTCCTTATGCAATTTCATACTTTCACAAAAAGGATAAAAATGACTAATGATTCTACACCATTCACTGAAATAAACATTCTATTTGCCAGAGATTTTATGCAGTTACTGCCTGTATTAGATGTAGCATTATATATGCTGAATAAGATTAATCACTTTTTTTCTTCACCTAATTTACAAACGATCAAAGGTGTAAAACGAAAGCATGATATCGACCCTTTATTGTTCGGTCTCCAGACTGTTGTTAATACAACAGATAGAAGCCTTTGGCTAAATGTTAAATATGTGATTCAATTAAAATTTCCTATGCGTCAAATAGATGACCCTTTTTATGCTAGTATTCTTGAAAATATGTGTTGTGAAAATCTCACAGAAACTCAAATATCAGCTTTACGATCAAAGGTCCTTGGAGATAATAAAATTAATTCTCCAGAATGAAGAAATGCCTCTTTTTTAGTAACAAGAAATGATCTCCATGTGCTACTTAATTTAAATGCTACAAGAGAGCATGCCTATAATAATAATTAACCTATCATATATTCATGTGCACAAGACTCTTATAACTGAATAATTCTTACTAGAAATAACCATCTCAAATTTCTATCTGTTTCTGACACTAAAGAAAATGCACTATGTAGGATTTTACCCTTGTCCATTAATATGAAAGTAGTTTTAACATTCAACATATGTACTAACAATAGCTTAGCAAATGGCTTACTAGAATACCTTAGACAGATCGTGTACAATAAAGATTCCATTGACATTTTATCTTCTCAAGATAATATAATTCTGAAAAATCTACCAAAATATGTTGTTGTTGAATTAATTGGAAAAGCACCTGGTTCTTATAAAACACTTCTACCTAATCATATACCTATTTACCCACTTAAACATCTCTGTGTACACACAATCTGGAATCGTGATGGTTCTAAAATTTCCAAAAGATTTCAATACTTTCAACTTCCTTTAACATCCACATTCATGTTTACTGATTTTAAATCACAAGGACGTACCCTTGAGAAAATAGTTGTTGATCTATCAGGAAAGCATGTGAATAATAGTACATATGTAATGCTTTTCAGGGCACAAAGGTTGGATGATTTATTAATTTTAAAACCATTCGATGAATCCATACTGAATATGCAATTATCTCCCGCACTTCATGCTGAACTTGCACGTATCGAAGAATGTACGCAAAGAACAACTCAATTGAAATTTTGTCTGAATATGAATAAGTAGTTCATTGCTTGAAATAATTTTTATAAATATGGTATCATCCTCTAGAGGATACTCCCAATATTTTTTTTCCTATTTTATTCTTTTTTTAGTAAAGTTCAACATTGTGTTATCTGTTAATATAGTAATCTCCATAACCCAAAAATAGTAAATGCAAGACCATCCTTACTTACCATGATTATAAAATCCACTTTCATTGCCTTCCTTAATTTTGTGAATTTAGTGACTTCGTGACTATCATAATTTTAATAAATTTATCGACTTCGTGACTATCATAATTTTAATAAATTCAGCTTTAGTTAATATTATATCTTATAAAGTAATAGTATAAAGCTATAAAAGTGGTTTCTGATTACCTCAATAAACAAAAACTTTTGGAGTTCAAAACTTCTAAACTTGTTAATGAAATATTTGTCACTAACCAATTTACCTTTTAAAACGTCAGAGTTTTTATCGTTAATTCTTGTCACTCAGAATATAGTAAAAACGATCCTGATTTATTTTTAATCAACTTCACTATACATAAACTTACATAGTCCAAAATTCTGTAATACGTGACCTCATATATTCCCTTGATTGGCTACTTTTGAGCACAAGACCCAGTCACAGTCCCAACAAATAAAATAAATATTAGCGAAAATTTGACAAAAATAAACTGCTTAATATGAAAATAATAAAGCACTTGTCTAAGTCCAACTTAGATCATTATCAAGTTTTAAAAGTGAAAAATTATTATTTAGAAGAATAACTAATATAAATAAATCTTATACACTGATTTCGAAGCTTACGATTCAACCAAGTTAAACATATTAAAGCAAAAAATTAAATATTAGATACTTACTTGCAATAATAAAGTACACAATTTCTATGTTATCTTTATACACTACCTTATAATTGCTATAATTCTTATGTGCACTATATACTAACGATATACACAACATCTATACATCAATGATCAAATAATTACTAAAATGGTATTATACAATTGTACAAATATAAAATAGACCAGGACGGCCCTCAAATTTGCAGGTCATGTAAAAAAATACCACTGCCATTAGCTCATAAGATATATAAAATGCAACAATCAAAATTTTATTGGGGAAATTTAACAATCACACATACTCTACATGCAACTGCGAATAGAGCTACTCATATGACCCGCAAATTTGAAGGCCGCCCTGGTCAATTCGAAATTGAGCAAGATTTTTAATGTACATACAGTCAATATACGTTTGTAAAATTATTTAACACAATGTCATGACGAATAATTAAATATCGTCATTAAACATTGATTAATATAATTATTTAATCGATACTTACTCACTACACTGATGACTCAACAGCAAGCAAAAAAATCTGTGCCAAGTTTTGTCGATCATTATCTACAGAATCATCTTTATATCTTAAAATGTCATCTACAAACCTTCTTTTCGTGCTCTATTAAAAAAATTCCTCTCATGATTTTGACATGTACTTTTAATTCTAAATTCTTTTTTAACCCGATCTAATCCTAATTTAATACTAACTTTAATACAAGCATATTTTAAATTTTTTTACTACAAGAAATAACAATACTGAGTAATTTAAATTACTAAATCGTATTAGTTTAACCTTACAAAATAATATTTAATATAAATTGTATACAAATATTAATAAATAAACTGTGTGAATTACAATGTAACCTTCCGTTCCTGGTTTTGCGTGACAGCGTCGCGCAGCTACCTTATTGATTATTTTGTAAATCCACATCTGAATCGCCTATAAACCATACAATACGTTGTACGTTGTACAAACTCCGTTTCTGGTATACTCCGTTCCTGGTAAATATTCGAAAATTATATAGCAGTACAGATTGGGTGACATATCCCCTGACCGTTAACGTTAATGTTAATGACTGTTTTCTATTACGTAGTAGTGCAATTTGCTATACAAAATTTTTTGCAAGCCACTACAGCAATGCATATGATGACGTGCGTAATATGCAATTCAGTGATTACAAAAAATTAATTTTGCCAAATTGCGACGCTATTGTTGTAATTCTATGCAGCCAAAAATTATGTGCAGAATTGTGCCGGTGCAATTTTAGAATATTGTACAAAAACTACAACTATAAAACAAATTGCGATGGTATGTTAGTGGCAATATTTCCGTTTTTTTTTTCGTAAATAAAATGGACCAAATTATTGACGATTTTAATCAACTGAATTTCAATGAAAGTCAAAAATTAGCAGATACAAACGAACCAGACGGAATTTATTGGCTC